TCACAGAATTATTTAGGTTGGAAAAGACTTTTAAGATCATGTCCAACTGTTCCCCCAGCACTGCCAGGTCCCCACTGCCCCGTGTCCCTCACACCACATCTCCACGGCTTGGAAACCCCTCCAGGGGTGGGGACTCCACCACTGCCCTGGGCAGCCTGGGACACACCTTCACAACCCTTTAGGTCATTTGTGCACAAAATACACCACTTTTGGCTTTGATGTTTATTATAAACAGTCTGCAGTACACGTTAAAACTGAACCCATCCCAAACGAGTGCTGCTGTTGGCTGCACAGGGGCTCACTACCTTTCCACAGTCTGGCAGAAATTCAGAGACCCTGAAGCTTGCTGCAAACAACAAACAAAACCAGTATTTAGTTTTATTAAAAGATAGTTCCCTATAATATTTCTTCATTTGTGAAAGGCTTGATAATGTTTTAAGCTATTTAAAGACCTAACGCATCTTGTGGTACAACATTTTCTGTGTTCAAGTCAAGGTTACATGGGCAGAGCTATTATGAATACCCTTGGAAGGGTGGGGGCGTCACACACCCCAGTCTGAGAAAAGCACAACTTCTGCAACAAGATGTGAAATTAAAGCAGATAAATTTGCCCTTTTCCCATTGGTTTCTACCATCATTACTTCCAATCAGCAAATTTTAAGGCCTTTGATGGTTTTTAATACTGTTTTGCAGCCAGCCTTTTTACCAGGCATTGGCCAACCATGGTTGGAATTAGTAAGTACAGATTTAAAATACATTAAATCAAACCCTGAAAGTTGTTTCTGGGCTTGATTATGATCACAAAATGAACCAAGAATTTTGTAATTAACCTACATAAGCATCATCTCCAGCAATTAAACTGTTTCCCAGTCACTGGAAATCATGTTGTAAGGTCTGTCTTTTCTTTTACTTTTGGGTTGTGCTTCTCATTGTTGTTACATGACTGTGATTCCTAAATTTATTATTTTAGTTCCAGATATTTGGATTTCTTACACTGCCTACGTATGAAGCACATGTCTACGTTCAACTGCTACAACATTCCCTCTGTTTCTGTAATCAATTTTCTGTGTCCTTCCTGATAATGAGAAAGCCAGGAAATAAGATTAAGAAGCTGAATAAGATTTACCTGTCTTCAACTGTCCTGTTGGAGGGGTAGTATACTTTGAATGAAAATCCACTCCTTGGAAATGAACCCTGGAAAGAAAAAAAGCAGATGCCACAGTCATGTGAGTAAAATCCTGTACAAAGAGGAAGAGGCACTTGCCCGTGGCTGTGTCCCCTTGGTGTTTTGGGAAAGAGGAAGGAAATCTTACAGGGTTTATGCACAGGCAGTCGGTGTTGGTGACAGTGAAGGGGTCGTACTTGTCTGCAATGATGAGGATGTCTGGCAGGGGGTAGACCCTCAGGGAGTAGTCGTAGGCCCAGTACACAGGGCTCACGTACAGGGGGAGCGGCGTCAGGTGCCCCTGGGATAATATTGTCTTTACAAACTGGAACATAAACACAAAGAGTGAGTGGGAGCTGTTTTCTACGCCTCAAATTCACTCCTGCAGATGCTAATGCCCTGGTAATAAAGAAACCTGGAAGCTGGGGATGTTGTTTTGGCTCTGATTATGAATGATTTCTGCTTTGCTTGTTGTGTTGTGGTTTTCTTTTTAATGCACCAAATCCCTTCTAGAGTGTAACCACCTATATTTGAGGGTGTCAAAACTATTTCATCCATCAGACTCTCCAACAGAATCTGTTGAACTGTTCCTCCAACCCAGGAGGTGCCCACGCTGCCATAACTTTCATTTTCTGGGCTTTTGTTTTACCTTGTGGCTTCCTTGACCCACACTTAGAATCTTTTCCCTGAACTGAGGGAATTGTTTGATTCCCAAATGCTTTTGATTCCTTTGGCTATTCTGGGAGTTGCCCTGTTCCAGGCACCAGCTACTCCCTGAAATTCTCTTTTTCAGCTGGCCAACTTCAGCCAGGGTATTTTGGTTCCTGACACTCCTCCAAGCCCCTTGAAAGCTTTTGTTATCTCTAATCAATCACGGAGCTGCTGTTAGGCTCTGCTTTCCCCAAAGGGCCAAAATCAATGCAGCAACTTGGTGGGAGGCTCTGCTGGAAGAAAATAATGTCCCAGCTATTCCACTAATACTGTCCAAGGCCTAAAGGCACTAATAATTCAATCTAGCAGCAAAATTTCCCTCCCTCATTCTTCTTTTACACTGATGGTGGAATTAAAAAGATCTAGTGAGAGGCAGAAAAGGCAGAGAAAAACTGGAGTGTGCAAAGGCAACCCAGGACTCTCATCTGCAGGAGGAGTGGCAACACATAATTCTTCATCTCCTTGGTGGTTACTTCCCTTCCAAGCATGAGAAAGGCCCATAGGAGTAAGTGCCCTGGACTGAGCAATGTTGTGATGGAGCAAAGGAAGGAAGAGCTAAAAGAAGTTTCCAAGTCAAACAACAACAAAAAGGCCTGTAAAATAAATGGGAACAGGCTCCATCCATCACTGCAATGAGCCAGCACTGCCTGGATCATTCTCATCCAATTATATCAGTAAATCCCAGCAACTCCTGCTGTGCATTCATTAGCTAGAATCATAACTGGGAGAGCTGTGGTGATGTATCAACAACAGGATTAAGACTTCAAGGGAGAAGGCAGAAGCAGCAGGTGACCTTTGGGAAAAGGGACACGCTGCTTTACTGCAAATGTTGCTGGTTAATTGATCACATCTGAAAAAAAAAGTCATTTGTTTTAAAAGTTTGCCTTTGGGGATCAGTGTTTCTTGGTATGACATTCATTGCTGGTGCTCATGTACCAAAAATCAGCTGCCATGAGGTTCTGCATTCAAGGGCAAGGGAGACAACAAGAAGGACTTGATGCCATCCATCAGTATTTTACTGTCAAGCTGCAAAGAGAGGTGAGGAGAGTAAATGTATAGATCCTCCTTACAAACCCTCTTGGTTCCTCTTGCCCTGTGTGGTGAGGATGCAGATCACAGCACCCTAAATCAGCAAGAAAGACGCCAAGGAGGTCTCCTCCCCTCCAGAAGTGCTGGACACAGCCTACTCACGTGGCTGGGAATGTCCATGTTGCTGCCAGGGAAGCGGACGCAGTTCCTGCACATCTTGTTCACCAGATCTTCACGGAAGAGAATGATTTCTTGGGTGCAATATTGAATCCTAAACAAAAAAACGTTCATGAAATGAAATAAATGGAGATAAAACTAAAAGATTGGGAGCTGCATTATAAAGCTGGGCTCCCTCTGCTACAGGAACTAGAAAAAGCACGTTTCAAGGCTCCAGGGAGACCTTCTAGGGGCCTGCCAGGACTTCAAGGGGCCTAGAAGAAAGCTGGGGACAATTTTCAGCAGGGTCTTTTGGGACAGGACAAGAGGTGATGGTTTGAAACTAAAAGAGGGAGATTTAGACTGGACAGAAGGAAGATATAAAATATATAGCAGAAAGTTACACCATTACCTGCAAGGATTTGTGGTGAAAACTGAAAATGGCACCAGCTGCCTGAATTCCTCAGTAATATTTTCAGCCAGGGGAGGTCTAAAATAAATAGCAACTGATGGATCAGCCACAACTCTGCACCAGCTTGAACTATTGAACTCAAAATTCCAAAACCCGAGAGAGTGAAACAAACTGACCTTGGTAAAATAGAACCAGGACCAGGGTCTTCAGGGCCAGGGATGAACACAAATCGACTGCTGTAAAAAGATGAATATTTCATGTTGATAGGAGGTGATCTAGAAGTATCTCAAGGTTGGTGACATGCAGCTGTTACTCCACAGATGTGTGCAGATAACCCCTGCTGGGGCAGAGATGACAGCTCCTCCTGGCTTTAAGAACCACATAAATTGCAGCTAAGGCATGAGAGACATGCCCACTCCTCCCTGAAGTGAAGGAAAGCTTAAAAACCAGTCACTGTGCAAGGGGGGTTGACTGTGAGCAGGGAGACAGACCAAGCTGAGCTCCAGGATCCCATGAAGGGACCCCAGGTAACTTGGCAGCAGCAGCAGGACACAGGATGGAGGATCAGCACAGGAGACGTGCTCACTCACATCCCACACACAGCTCAAGAGCTGCAGGCTGAGGTCAGTCCTGGTTTTGGGCCCATTTTAGGAACTAGCTCTACTTGAGAGCTCCTGTTATGAATTGCAAAGTCAGAAGCCAGACAGCATAAGCCTGGCTGCCTCCCTAGTTTTATTTTCCTTTGTGTATTCAAATCTCTATAGAGGGGGATTTAGTTCTCCAGGCCTGGAATGGGACTCCCACAGAGCAGGGACACCAGAAAGGATAAATACAAGATTCCTTTGCAGGATGGGGTTGCTTTGGTGAGCTCTCACACTTCCAATCATGGAGAACTGTGTATGGACAAGACAGAAAGGAGATGTCTTTGTGGACACAGCAGCCAGTGTTTCAAGAGACACTGCCCTGGGCTGGTAGAGAAGGTCCAGAGGTGCTTGTAGTGGCCACCAAGGCTTCAACATCACTTCATAAAGCAGCACAGCTCGGGCAGAACCCAACAGAATTCCAGGGGAGAAGGGCTTACCCAGACAGCACTTTTGGGGAACCATGGGCCATGTTTAAGCCATGTGGAAGATGTTCCAGGGAGAGGCAGTTTCACAGAACAGCTGCTACCATGAACAAGTTATTTTAGATAAAATCAAAACCTTACAATGCTCCCAAAACAAACTTGTAGGCCTGTCCCAAGACCAGCGTGCTGTCCTTCTCACAGTAATGAGAAAACACAGTACCTGAGAGTTTCTTAAAGTAATTAAAGCAGAGGTTTCACAAAAAGAAGATTTCCCTTAGCTGTGTACCTTTTATGAATGCTGGGATATTCACATATAATATCTGCAAGAGCCTTCAAGGAACCTAGAGTCAGGAAAAACAAAAACCTGTGATACAACACCTGGTTAGACAATAAACAGCTATTACATGAATCACCCTTATGCTTCAGCACATTAAAAAATATGTCACTTGGGAAAGAAGGGTTTCTTTTCTGCTCTCTTCATTTGTTTTGCCATCATTATTTTAGTTTAACATATGTATCTGAGTGTATACCAAGGCTTCCCTACCTTTCAGTGACTGAATTTGACCTTTTCCATATGGTGCAGATGAAAAATTCCCACAAAAGAAAAAGCAGGTTGGAGGTGCAGAGGAATAACCTGGGAAAACAGAGGATCTGTGAGTACAGCCATTCACTCTGGAATCTTTCAGCATTTCAGCCCCCAGTCCGTTCCATTCCTTGGGAGGCAGAAACTGAAACAGCACTTCAAGATCTGCTGCTGTTAATACACCTGAAGTATCTTCTCCACACAGGACTTTTTTAGCTTAAAAAGGATGATGGCAAAGTACAAGTGTCCCTCAGAGGAAGCCCTCTGTTATTTGCAGGCCCAGTTCCAACAACATCATTTGTGTGTCTCCAACTATTGATCCAGCCATATAATTACACAAAGTACATTTATAACAAATAATACCATTTTAAAACACTCTCTTTCCTTAAAGAGAAAAACAGTGAGCAGGTAGCAATGGATTACTATTAATCTTCAAGCATCACTCCAATTCAAGGGCTCTACCAACATTTAATTCACTCCCTGGCACTGCAAAGCACTGGTGACTGGAACTGCCTGAGCATCCTGACAACCTGATGAATCCCTCACAGTATCACTAATCACCCAGAAACACAGGTTTTATAAGGAGGAGTTAAAAAGGAAACCCAATTCCATCCCTAAAATAAAAATATCTGCTCAGGCATTCACCTCACGTTCCAGGTTACTCTCCCTTTTCCTAACAGGCAGCACCACACTTGGATTTACTTCACTATTTTTCAATCCAGTTGGTAAATAGGACAGAATTGTTTATACCAAATGGCTCATCAAGGGTTTTTTTCCTTGCAGTTCCACTCAGCCATTATTTTTAGTATATAATTATGAAAGTTATTACTTGCCAATTAAAAAAAGTCTCAAAGTAGTAAATGCAGTGTTGGCATCTTTGGCAATTGAGTTCAGAACATGAACCTCACTGCCCAAAGTCCCTTTATTCCTTCAGCAAGTGCAATCTTAGGTCAAGTTCAGCTTCCTCCAAGGATCTCACCAACTTTGATCAAGATGGTGAATTGTCTTCCCAACTCCTGGATATGGTGTGGTAATTTGTATCCAATTTTCTCTAGGTGAGTAGCTGTTCCCCACCCTTAAACTTCATGCTGCTTATTTTTAAAGCAGCCACCCTCTCACACTTCCACTCTACCTAAAACAGCCAGGACAAGCTGTTCCAAAACTGCTCTGGAATACAAAGAAGCAATTCACAGCTCTGGCAGATGCTTGCTATCCAAATGTTGTCAACATTCTTAATGTGATGATGTGTGGAAGAAACAGTTTGTATTTTAAGAGGAACTGACATTTTTTTTCCTTGGTAGAACTAGAAAGCATTGGAGGGACTGCTGAGCTGCCATGAAGCAAGAAGTTTTCTTTAAACTAAGCTTAGGAAGAACTTTCATGAGCAAGGGAAATGTTCTTGTCACAGTACATAAAATGGCTGCTGTCCAAACCAATATTAGTACTTTGTGATTTATGAAAAGGAAGTGTCTGCTTGCAAAAATAGACTCCAATCCAATCTGTAAAGCCATCAGAGAAAGATCCAAAAGAAATGTAACAGCAACCATCAAGTGCAAATAGCTGTTACTAAAATTAGCATGAGGTATCACTGGCTTTGGGCCTGGGTTGAGTGAGATCCTACCAAGAAATGCAACAGTTGGGCTGATTCTAGTGTCTTGCTGCACTGGTCAGCTCCATCCACCCAGGCTGCAAAGGGCTCAGAGAAATGGTAAAAATCCCCTAAACCAAGGCTCAGAGTCACAGCAGGTCTCACTCAGAAGAGGGAGATTTAGACTAGAGAGAAGGAAGATGTTCTTTGCTGCTGAGGGTGGTGAGCCCCTGGCCCAGGTTGCCCAGAGAGGTGGTCGCTGCCCCATCCCTGGAACCATTCCAGGTGAGGTTGGCCGGGGCTCTGAGCCCCCTGCTCTAGCTGCAGATGTCCCTGCTCAGGGCAGGGGGTTGGACTGGGTGGCCTTGAAAGGTCCCTTCCCACCCAAATTATTCCATGATTCACCTACCTGAAAACATTGTGTGAAGCTTCTCCAGAACTTCTGCTTGGTCCAGCCACACATCAGAAAGAAACACAAACATGGCATCTTCATTTTCATCCTCCAGCTGCTTTAGTTTTGCAGAAGCCTTTACTGAAGCTGAAGAAGGCCCTCCAAAGAAGTTTATATTCCCATAGAAGGCCCTACATCGTTAAAATATTCAAGTTAGTTCTGTTTTCCTCTCAAATCATTAGTAGTTTTGATTATGACTCACTTAAACCACTTTAATAATTACTATTATTAGGATCAGGAGCTCAGATGGTATCAATAATCATTTAGTACTCCAAGGGGAAAGCCAGGAAGGGAAATGGCAGCAGAGGAGCTGGACATGGAGCAGAAGCACTGCCCTGCTGTAACTCAGCACATCATCCCAGGGTAATATTTGTCCTGGGCTCTTTCCCACCTCCATTCTCTGAGCAACAAGGAATTGCTTATTCCCATATAATAGTTACCTAGTTCTGCAACTGAGAAGAGCTTGGATCCCAGTTGTTATTAATGCACAGAACCCAGGGGCCTTTGGAAGGGTTTTTCTGCCAAGACTACAAGCTTTAGTGCTGGCCCAAGTAGTGCAGCAGGTCCAAAATTGCTTCCTTAAAACTTTATTTATTCTGAAGCATTTGGGGAAGACCAGCACACTTTATTGTCACAGAAACTCTAAAATAGTAACACACTACCACAGAAACTGTAACAAAACATGGAGGGAGGCTGCCAAAAGTCACTTTTATACCTAGTGGTAGCAGAAGGCTCAGTAGGTGGAAATCCAAAAGCGTTCACATGAAACACTTCATCTTCATACCAACCTAAGAGATTTTTGAACAAGAAAATCACTTTGAGTTTCTCTAACAACATCAAGTCCTAGCCATGAGCCAGATGTTGGCAGCTGTGTCAGTCCCAGCCTCCATCAATCCCTCCCTTGTGGCAGCACCAGTCCCTCTGCTGTTCAGTGCTGAACCAAACCATGGAACTCCCTGGCTGAAAGACAAGCTGAGCAAGAAACCAACTATTTTTTTTTACCCCAGACACTTCTTTGAATGGCTTTGCTGCACAGCCACATAAACAACCTTCTCAACCCAACCAAGTGGGAATGTAGGGGAACCAGAATCAATTTTGCTGGCCCTGCTCCAGAAGAGTCTCCATCAAACTGCACCTTGTCTCCAGAACTGTCCCATCTGCTAAAGGAACAGAAGTCATTGGGTGACACTTGTCCCCACCAGCATTTCTGCTCCAAACTTCTATTTACTACATACATTTTAAACATCACATACATTATGGATGGAGCTTGGAGCAACCTGGTCCAGTGTGAGGTGTCCCTTCCCCCCCTTGCAGGGGGGTTGAAACTAGATGATATTCAAGGTCCCTTCCAACCCAAATAGTTCTATGGTTCTGTGACATTAGAAAATAAGACTTTGGCAAAGCTTTGCCAACAAAAAAGCAGCATTTTCCAATTGTTAAATCACACTGCTGGGTTATTCTGGGCTGTCTTCCTAACCTAGTCATATCTCCTCCAAGCATGCTGGAGCCAGGCTAACTAAGGCCAAAGCTCAGAGCTGCTAGAGATGCTCCCATCCCACCCCCATGGCTGGAAACCACCAATTTTGCAGAGCTCTGTTCTCTGCCTCCAGAGCCAGTGAGGTAACAGGAAAGGGTTATGGCCAAAAATCTCACTCACAAACTCCACTTATGGTCAAGCCCTGTCAAGAGACAAGACGTGGAACTGCAGCAACAGCCATTAACAGAGTAACTTATTACAGGCTAAGAAAAACAGTCTGCTTTACCTTCTGCCAAAACAAAGGAGGACTCAGTATATAAACCACTGTGGAACTGGTGCAGGAAGGTTAAGAAATGTATTTTTCTTAGATCAGGACTTTTAAGCTAATCTTTAGCCAAAGTTTGGTGTAATACATTTGGATACCACTGAAAGTTCACAGGCTGCCTTATGAGCCAGGCAAGTAATTAATCTGGTGGCTGAGGAGGTAAGTTCAGAAGCAGCCCACAAGGAGGAACATGCTTTGCTTCCACCAGGAGAAATTGTCCTGGCAGTCTCTGTGCAAGGGCACTGAGCTGCAGCAACTAAGGCATTTGAAAAAGAAGGAAAAAGGCACAAGCTGCAATTCTCCATACATCCTTTTTAATGCTCAGTATTGATTTACTATTCCATTTTAAATTCTCCAGGTCTATAGGAGATTTCTCCACCTCTGACAGCACAGAAAAAGGATATGGCTTTGCTAAGGTCAAGCTGGACGACTCCTGTAGGGTCTTCTAGGAAAAATTTCCCCTAAAAAACAGGATAAATAAAGCAAAATATGCTCAAACACATAGATATTTCAATCAGAATCATCCATCAGTCAGCATTTAGAAATTATTTAGTGGGGTTTAATAAGCTTAGAACACAGAGACAGAACTGCAAACACTGGTTTACAGGCAGTGCATCTCAGCACCTTACTGCTGAGCTCCTGCAGTCTGGATTCCTGGCACACCCCTTCCCTACAGAGTCCCAGACAGCCACGGGAAGCTCCAGCATCTCAGGAAGGGGCAGGCCTAAAACCTGGAGCTGGTTCTGGCTGCTGACACAATGCATTATGAAATTCTGTCCTGAGAAGACAAAGACACTTCCCCTCACAGACCAGCACCAACTGCTTGTGGGAAACTCTCTTCTGAGGTCTCAAAGCACTGACGTTGATGGGAGTTCTGCCACTGACTAATGTGACAGGACAAGGTGGTGAGATACTTAAGTCTTCTCATTTTCTGATATATTATAACACAGAATGAAAGGTGCCTTAGATACTACACAATAAAAAAGCAACCTACCTCCTTAAGCTGAGTTATCATCCCAAGCACAATCACTTCTCCCACTTTAGCTGTATTGCCCAAGAGAGTTTCTACTGTTTTAAGCTGGAACCAAAGGCAAAGAATTAAATAGGAATGGAATCAAACTCTTCACACTCTTCAGCCAGCAAGACAAAGCACCACACAGCACACACCTTTACAGAACGCACAAAGGAGCTAGGAGAGAATACAGGCTGAGAAGAAAAATGTGGGACATGTTTCTGCAGCCAGGTTAGGAACAGATTCCCAGTAACAGCTGCCAGCATGAACTGCTCAGTGAGGAAATACGTATCCTGACTATTTTGCTTACAACTGAAGAGGACAAGTGGCAATTTCTGCTCTTGCCTAAGAATGTCAATTGTAGTGATTAGTTCCTCAGCAGGATCCCTTGTGAACTGCAGGGCCAGCCCAAACCAACACAGACTACTCTGAGTGAGGAACCTTTGAGACCCCTCCAGAGGATCACACCACACACTGTGCTCTCTGTGGTCTCTCTCTGGATGAACTTCTGTTGGTCTGTCAAGCTGCAGTGAAGAGAGACAAACCCACATCACCAGCAGAAGAGCTGAACTGCTGACAGGGAGGAGAGGAAGCAGCCAAGGGAGGGAGCTGCCTGTGAAGCCTGGGTGGAGATGCAGACTCAGCTCAGCTAAGGTCAGGGAGAAGCAGGGGAGCTGAGCAAAGCAAAAGCTGTTACCTGGCACCCAGTGATGCACACATTCATCTTTTTCACAAAATACATAATAACTATATAATATAGCCTGAGCATTTGGTATGTGAGAGCTGAGAGGGGACAGAACAGTCTAAAGTTGTGACCTGCAGTTGTAGGTTTGTGCATTCAGTGCTTACAAAAGGAAGAAAGAAGCAGGGAAAATATCCCAAAGCAGAGGGAAGCAAAGTGTAAGGAGCTGAACAGCTGATGTCCTTCCTCTGCTGGGAGCCACATTTCTCTCATGCTCCTCAGCTGCTTTTCAGCCCTTTGGTGGTCAGGCTGATCTGAGCCAAACAACTGCATTTTTGACACACAGGCTAAAAATAATCCAAACTAACTCATTTCCATCGATTGCTCATAATGAATGTCAAACTAAGATGTCACTGAAGAACTATTACTGCACTGAAGTGTAACACAAGTACAGTTCCCTTTCCAAGAAAAAAAGAAAAGGAAAAAAAACAGATTCTTTTACCTGGAATTTGCTCTTACTGTCATCAGGATGAGCAACGGCTGGTGAAGGAGTGAACAACTCATGTCTGTGAGTCCTCTGCAGAAACCAAAATTGAAGTCATCCAGTTTAAAAATGAATGAGCACTGTCAGAAAGCCAGTTCATTACAACCACTGCACAAAATACAGTTTACATTTTTCATACTCTCTATTATTCAGCAACATTTAATTTCTTGAGGACAATCAGTCCTTTCCACAAGAATCTGCTTCTAAGAAATCGATCAATAATACTGGGCAATAAAACTAAGCCCAAAAAAGTAACATCAAAGCAGCTGTAACACTTCTAAAAGAAGTTATTTCTGACTACCTGGCAGGAAGAGGTGCAAGAGTGAGGGGAAGTAAACTGTATTAAATGCTGATTTGGTGGAAAAAAAGCTGGTTTCTCTTCAGGGCAGGGCCTACTAAACATAAGCACTTAATTTAATTATATATTTTTAATAACAGGAGCAAGCTTCATTAACAAATAAACTGCAGGAAGCATGAAGAAAATGCATTGTAGAAATTTTCTCTTCTTTCACTGTTTTTTTGTGCAGCCTGGAAGCCTCCCCACAGATCAAACCCATCACTAGAAGCCAAGGAACACAGGCAGCAGTTCCAGTCAGCAGCCCTCACCCCCACGGTGGCCTGAAGGTCAGAAAGGAGCACAGCAGACAATCATACACCAAACCTGTGCAGCAGAGAGTCTGGGTGAAACCACCATGCCAAGAGGTGCAGGAGCACAGCACAATCAGGAAAAGAAGGCTTCAGGATACAGACCCTGTGGACACCTCCAGCTGCTGGCTGCAGAAACCTGCTGTTTTCACAGAATGGTTTGGGCTGGAAAGGACCTTCAAGATCATCTAGTTCCATCTCCCCTGCCATGGGCAGGGACACCTCCCCCTAGACCAGGTTGCTCAAAGCCTCATCCAACCTAGTTTTGAACATATCCAGGATTGGGGCATCCACAACCTCCCTGGGCAACCTGTGCCAGTGTCTCACCACCCTCAGAGTGAAAAACTTCTTCCTTACACCTAATCTAATCTTTCTGTTTAAAACCATCACCCCTTGTCCTACCACTACACTCCCTGAAGTAGTGAGGTGGGGATCAGTCTCTCCTCCACGTGGCCCAAAGGACAAGCAGGGTGGCATGGACAGAACTATGTGCCTGCTGTCTGCCTGTGTCCAAGAGTCTCACTCACACCTCTGGCCAGGGCTGCACACAGGCAGTTAGGTCTGTGCAGCACCTGCCAGCACCGAGCAGGATCTGTGCTGTGGATCAGCTCAGTGCAGGTAGTCCAGAGACCTGAAAAATCAGGACCAAAAAAAGAGACTGAAGCATCTGGTCAGCAGCTCATGCCCTTTCCCATCACTGCTCCTGCTGGGCTGCACAGCAGAGGCAGGGCACGGAGTGGGAGTGAGCAGGCACATGAGGTGGAGCTGGATCGCAGCTCCTGGGGTGAGGGGAAGAAAGGAGAACAGGATTGTGACCCTGTTGTGAGAGACAAGCAGGCAGCACGTGCTCAGGGACTGACTTGAAGATGCTGAGGGGCCTGGAGCATCTCTGTGCCAGGACAGGCGGAGAGCCCTGGGGCTGTTCAGCTGGAGAAGACTCAGAGGGGATCTGATCAATGCTGAGCAAGAGCTAAAGGGCCCATGGGGGGGCAAGAGGCTGGGGCCAGACTCTGATTTTCAGTGGTGCCCAGTGACAGGACAAGGGGCAATGGGCACAAACTGGAACCCAGGAGGTTCCATCTCAACACAAGGGAAAAAAATCTTTGGTGTGAGGGTGTCAGAGTCTGGAGCAGCTGCCCAGAGAGGCTGTGGAGTCTCCTGCTCCGGAGAGATCCCAAACCCACCTGGACACCATCCTGGGCACCCTGCTGTGGGTGAGCTGCTGGAGCAGGGGGGTTGGACCAGATGATCCTCAGAGGTCCCTTCCTATCCCCACCATGCTGGGGTTCTGTGTGTGTCACCAAGAGATGACAATGGCTCTCAGTGGGCATTTTGAAATCTGAGAAATGAATAAACAAACTAAACTCCCTTGCTTTGAGGAGTGCCTGAACAAGAACTTCCTGGAGCTTCAGTTTTGCCTGACCTCAACAAGCACATGAATCCACCCTGCTGTGCAGTGCCAGCTGAGAAGACTTGATAAACTTTAGGAAAAGTCCTGTTCTCATTCTGAGTTTATTTAAACTGTAGCTCACAGAAGCACCTCACCACAAAGCACTGCTGAACACGTGAAGGATACAAACCCCAGCATTTAGTTTGTGTGTTTTGTTAAGCAGAGCAGAACCCTTCCTGACCTGCTGTAAGATGGAGTAGCGCTCACGAAACAGCTCTGCTTTATCCCTGGCAGTTCCAAATAAACTGGGTACAGGCAAATTGGTCATTGACAGGCTGCAAAAAGTGTAACAAAATCCAGATTAGAAAAGGTACATTCCACAGACAAAAAATGCCGTATTGACCTAAAAGTTGTAGAAGGCTGCAAAAGCTGTAACACTGCTGCATAATTTATTCCCTCAGTGAGGAAGATTCTGCCAGGGGTCCTGTGTTTCTGCACTCTGAAAGCTTCATCCATTTAATTCCCCTCTAGCTCACAGGCCTGGAGATTTATCTTCCCACCTGAACAGGGCTCTGCAGAAATTAGTTTTTTTTTAAAAAAGCACCTTTCTCTTTGAAGTGGCCATGAACAAGAGGATTTGGAAAGTGTCTTCATGGTGTTCTCTGCTTCCAACAGCTTGGAAAGCCAGGAATTGGCGCTGGCACAAAACACCAGCTGCAGACACACAGATTTCATTTGCCAGACTGGCAGAATCATGGGGCAAGGCCAGAAAATGAGCTGCACGTTACCAGGGGGTCACTGCCACCCCTCACAATGAACCGCTACCCATTCCTCAGCTGCCACCACTTTGGGCTTTTCAAAAGCATGGCTTCTTTTTAGCCCAGCAGCCTGGGCTCCTTGCTATTAAAGGTAATTTTTTTAGCCAGCAAAATAGTTACAACCAGTTCCTCCAACTACTTCTCTGGTTCTCTGACATCCAGAATCACCAGTTGCTCCTGATATTTCTTTTTTAGCTGTTGTAGTTCTCCTTAGAAATCCCCCAGGGCTTCAGGGAGCTGCAAGCTACAGTCTAAGAAATAAATACATGCAACAAGATAGACCCAATTTACTAAAAAAATAAAATTAAACAGCCAAATGTAAACAAACCCCAACCCTCCAAACTATATTTAGTGATATCTGTCCTTAGCCTGACAGTCTCTTTGATTCATTAGATGACATAAACATGGTTGGACATTTTACTATCTGATAAACAGCAAAGTTTCAGAGGCAGTAACACCCCAGACCCCTCTGCCACAGGGGATGCTGGTGCCCATTCCAGTGCCAGCCTACTGGACTAGGAAAAACCCATCAACACCTTTATTCCTGAGCCAGCATTTATCACAGTCTGACTAGCTCCTTAGAGACTAGGAAATAAAATTGTCTCATTTTCTCTCTCAGACTTGAGGTGAGCAGAACTAAGAAGGCAAGATTAGAAATCAGACTTTTAACCCTATAGAAATAAAGGGGTTTTTTTTCTTAAAACAAGAAGAGGTTGCAACTTCACCCAAGCCAGACTTACGGTATAAACTTCTTTCTTTCTGAATTATAAATATAACGTGGGATATCAAAGGCTCCAATAATGTTGAAAACGTTTTCTCTGAAATAAGAATACATGAAGTGGATGAAACAAACAGCAACAGAACATGTCAGATAAAATTGTGTTTGTTTTGCTCACTATCACCATTCCTCTCACATCCCTCTGCCTGTTGGCTGCTACCACATCTCTGAATTCAGAAGAGGAAACTTCAGAAGTTCATTTAGGAATGAGAGATGGAGACACCTCCTTTCCTTAACCATCCTCTGCTCTATGACCACAGAAAAGCCTTGCCATGGCTCATGTGGCACAAAATATTGATCACAGTGTAGCCACTGAGAATGTGATCACAGGATCTGCTGGACATACCTAGCAAACCATTTCTTCCACTTTGGATTATGTTGTCAATACATCATGTAGATGCTAAAGGAAACATTTATCACAGCCCCAAAACTCTCAGAAACTCAAATAATTGCTCTCCACTTTGTTATCAGAGAGTGCAAATCAATCACAGCTCTCAAAACAAACAGAAAAGCAGAAACAAGCACCATGCAGAGAAAACTCTTCCAAGAGCTTTCAGAGAAGAAACATCTTAAGAAAGGCACAAAAATAACTTTAGATCATTTTAAACCAGACAAAAGGAAATAAAGACATGAAGAGAAGTAAAAAGGTCTCTCTGCACTGAAACTATTGGTTTATTTTATTGGTTAATATTCCACCTGGATCACACCTCACACACAACCACAGTATTTGAATTCCACAATGTCACCATTATATTTAGAACCCCCTGGAGGCCTATCCAGGAGAACAAATTTTCTAGGAAGGAACATTTCTAACCCTCAAAGACAGTACCAGGAAGAGAAGAGAACACAGCAATTACTGCACGAGCAGCACTGCAGACAACTCCTGACATTTCTTTCCCAAGAGGAAGGAAGGGAATGCACATCAACTCCCAAAACCCCAAATCAATGAAGCTGAAGTCACCATACACAGTCTCATCTGACCCCTGGCTGCATTCCTGGACGGCTGCTTCCACTGTGGATTGTTCAATCATGTTACAGGACACTGAAAAGAAAATTTCAAAGGGTGAAAACCTTTGGAGGAGGTCTGGAGGAGGAGTTTCTTCCAGGACGTTGCCATACAGGTTGATGTCCTCAGTAGTCAAACTGATGAAGACAATTTTGGAGACAGACACGTTGCTGACCACCAAGATCATCAAGTCCAACCATCAACCCAACACTACCATGAGCACTAAACCATGTCCTGAAGTGCCACATCTACGTGGTTTCTGGCACCTCCAGGGATGGTGGAGGCTACAGCTTGAGTACTGGGGTCAGGTCTGGCCATGAATACTGGGGAACATGTCTTATAAAGAGCAGCTGAGGGAACTGGGGGTGTTTAGGCTGGAGGAGGCTGAGGGGAGACCTTCTGGCTCTCCACAGCTCCCTGACAGAAGGCTGGAGTGAGGTGGGGGTTGGTCTCTTCTCCCAGGGAACCAGTGATAGGACAAGAGGCAATGAGCTCAAGTTCTGCCAGGGGAGGTTTCAAGTGGATATTAGGCAGAATTTCTTTCCTGGCAGAGTGGTGAGTCCTTGGCCCAGGCTGCCCAGGGAGGTGCTGGAGTCCCCATCCCTAGAGGGGCTCAAAAAACTCATAGATGTGGCACTTGGGGCATGGTTTAGTGCTCATGGTAGTGTTGGGTGGATGGTTGGACTTGGTGATCTTAGAGGCCTTTCCAACCTTAATGATTCTATTATCCCATTGCTGCAGTAAGAATATAAAGCTTTAACTTCTGTAGCCTGTGCTCCAGTAGAACTACAGAAGAAGGATGTGCCTGCTCTTGATTCAATTTGGTTTAAACAGGATAGGCTGGGAAGGTTTCCTGAACTCACCTAGCATTTAATTTAGATCCCATTTATATGGATTTGAATCTCCTCAGCCAAAAACTGGAAGAGAGCTGGATGTTCCAGGTTCTCATGAGCTCTGATGAGTAGAGACCCACACGTGGCAGGCACCAGTGCCACCCCTTTAACTCAAGGTGCTACAACTCCTACGTGTTGTGCTGTCAGCCTGTGTCAGGTCTATTCTGAGGTACCACCCCATGGCACACAGGAGCAGGGACACTGGATCTGTGTGCTCAGGACATACAGCCCCAGGTAAGCAGGAGGAAGTCCCCAGACAAAATCCTGCTGACAGATGATGGAGTTTCAGGCACGCTCAGAACCAAATGGGTTGTGAGAACTTTACCAGACAAAGCTCAGCTCTTTGAGCATCTCATGTTTTTAGGGGAAACATAGAACAGTTCTGGTTGGAAAGGACCTTGAAGATCATGGAGTCCAACCATTCCCCAGCACTGCCAGGTCCCCACTGCCCCATGTCCCTCACACCACATCTCCACGGCTTGGAAACCCCTCCAGGGGTGGGGACTCCACCACTGCCCTGGGCAGCCTGGCACAGCCCTGGACAACCCTCAAGGGCAAGAAATTGTTCCTCAGGGACAACCTCAACCTCCCCTGGGGCAACTTGAGGCTGTTTCCTCTTGTCCCCGTTGGGGAGCGAGCCCGCCCCCCCCCTGGCTCCAGGCTCCTGTCAGGAGCTGTGCAGAGCCAGAAGGTCTCCCCTGAGCCTCCTTTGCTCCAGGCTCAGCACCCCCAGCTCCCTCAGCTGCTCCTCCCCACACTTGGGCTCTAGGCCCTTCCCCAGCTTCGTTGCCCTTCTCTGGCCACGCTCCAGCCCGTCAAGGACCTTCTGGTAGTGAAGGGCCCAAAGCTGAACCCAGGATTCGAGGGGTGGCCTCCCCAGTGCTGAGTCCCAGGGATGATCCCTGCTCCTGCTGGCCACACTAGTGCTGATCCAAGCCAGAATGCTGGTGTTCTTCTTGGCCATTTGGGCCCATTTTCCAGGAGGTTTCTAGAATTCACTTTTGGACTTAGTAATGAATGGGATTCCATGTACTTTGACACACCCAGCAGGTAGACTGTTCCAGTGCCTCAGTGCCCTGATGTTAGCAGCACCTTCTGCCCAATGTGACCATCACAAGATCACGTTGGCAGAACAGCACAGCAGCATCTGCCTGGCTAGTGCAGAGAACATCCAGGTGAGAGTTAAACTCCACCCACAGTTGCTTTAAGTTAAAAGGCTGGACCATTACACTGCTGCACAGGCATCTCCCTCTCCACTTGGATGTGGGGGCAGTGATCTCTGAACCAAGGAGTGCAGCTGTCCCTTCTTGCAGTCCCAGTGAGGCTCCTCAGATTATAGCTGTCAACAACCCCAACACTCTCCTCCACCTGGCCTACTAAATAATAAGCAAATTAATTTCTTATTATTTCTTTGCTTGATTTGAATATTGAAAATTATACTCCCAAATGCAAAGACATCCATACAAGCTGACCTTGGGGCCTTTAGAACTGGCACTGAAAAATTTCCCTCCTTTTGGAGAAGTCAGGAGGTACCAGGCTGCCAGCTTTTGAAATGCAAAATTATCCTGCCTTTTGCTGACATCACAAACTTCAGTATTTAACAAAACAAAATGTCAACAAACACATTTATCTTCATCAGCCCAGCAGACTAAAATGACACCTCTAGTCTGTACGCTGCCAGTAACTCTGCCTTTGTCAAAATAAAATGATAACCATAAAATAAACTCAGGAAGCTTAAGAAATGAAATGTTTACTCACAGGATTGTTTTTCAACAGCATCGATGACATTTTCAATTACATTGTCCAGTTCTACCTCATTGATGGACTGAAGAGCTTCAGTGAGGTACTTCAGAGCATCCCTAATGCCAGTGAAGAAGAAAGTCAGCTCAAAAAGCAATTAACATTCCATACAGTACAAACTAGGCCAGTTTTGGCAGATGTGCACATAATCACTGAATGGCTTGTGATTAAAAGGGTAGAAATAATTAGTACCACACAACACTGCACTAGTTTAATTCAATGAAAAAAATCATCAGGGTTGAAAACACTGAGGATAAGAAGCAGACACAGAGAACCTTGTCTTCATACAGTCGTGGAAAGACTCATGGCAGAAGGGACCTCTGAGGTCTCCTGGTCCAGCTTTCTGCTCTAACAGCTCAGCCCAGTCAAATCCATCCAAGGATGGAGATCTCACAGCCCCTCTCGGCCCTGTCCTGGTGCTTAACTGATGAACAACTTCTCCACAGGATTGCAGAGAAGTCCATGGTAGAAGGGAACTCTGGAGACCACGTGGACCAACTGTCTATTGAAAACAGGGCCCTCGAGCCAAGTCTTGAGTTTATTTCCAGTGAGGGAGATTCCACCACTTCTCTAGCCAACCTACTCCAAAGTTTAATTGCTCTTATAGTGAAGATTTTATTTTAAGCTTGTGCCCATTGCCTTTTACCCTGTTGCTGTGCATGTTTGCAAAGAAAGGGCCTCTGTCTACTCTATAACCATCTTTTAGGAAAACTGGTATTAAATCCTCCTGAGCCTTTCCTTCTTGACACTCAGTAAATCCAAATCCTTCACATTTTTTCCATGTCAAGCTCTCCAACCTTCTAATCATAGAATCACAGGATGGTTTGGGTGGGAAGGGACCTTTCAAGGTCACCCAGTCCAACCCCCTGCCCTGAGCAGGGACATCTGCAGCTAGAGCAGGTTGCTCAGAGCCCCGGCCAACCTCACCTGGAATGGTTCCAGGGATGGGGCAGCGACCACCTCTCTGGGCAGCCTGGGACAGGTGCTCACCACCCTCAGCAGCCAAAATTCTTCCCTTCTCTCTTGTCTGAATCTCCCTCTTTTAGTTTCAAACCATCATCCCTTGTCCTGTTACAACAAGCTCTGCTAAAAAGTCTCTCCCCAGCTTTCTTCTAGGCCCATTCAGGTCCTGAAAGACTGCAAGGTCTCCCTGGAGCCTTCTCTTCTCCAGGATAACAGTCCTGTTATCTACAGTCTCACAGTCAGTAATAATAATTTTCTTATTAATGTCATCTGTTGGCCAATCAAAACTGACATTTTGCTTAACAGCCTGACCTTCAAAATGTCTCTTTTCATTTAACTGTGGGAGTCAGGAGCTCTGAACTTGGACACCTCACTAATGAGACTGCCAGGACAGTGTTCAAAATAATCACATCAGATCCCATCCACACCAGAAACAAAATGGAACCGATATTAACGCAAGATCCTGAAAGGGGAAATGTGAGCAGTGGAGCCTCAGGCAGTCTTCTAAAACATGACACCTTCCACCACAAGCAGAAATCGCTTTTCTTTGACCTTTCTTTGACCATGTCTCTAATACATGTTATTATGTACCTTTGGAAATGCCATTTCTGCTGAACACAGAACTGGCAAGTGCAGCTTGGGAAGATCACAGAGCTGTCAAGGACAGCAGCAGACAAAAAAAAAACCAACCAAACATCCAACACAACCAGAGAGGGTATCAAGGAGAGACCGAGCTTTTGGTGCTACCTAAACCCAAGCACTACAGTGGGTCAGATCACAGAACCCCAGCATGGTAGGGTTGGAAGAGACCCCTGGGGATCATCTCATCCAACCCCCTGCTCCAGCAGCTCACCCACAGCAGGGTGCCCAGGATGGTGTCCAGGTGGGTTTGGGATCTCTCCAGAGCAGGAGACTCCACAGCCTCTCTGGGCAGCTGCTCCAGGCTCAGCCACCCTCACACCAAAGAAGGTTTTCCTTGTGTTCATATGGAACCTCCTGGGTTCCAGTTGGTGCCCGTTGCCCCTTGTCCTGTCACTAGGCACCACTGACAAGAGTCTGGCCCCAGCCTCTTGCCCCCCACCCTTTAGCTCTTGCTCAGCATTGATCAGATCCCCTCTGAGGCTTCTCTTCTCCAGCTGAACAGCCCCAGGGCTCTCAGCCCGCCCTGGCCGCAGGAGCTCCATCCCCTCAGCACCTCGGCTGGATGATGGCAGGCGCCCCCCGCAGCAGGCCAAGCCAAACACGAGGGCGTCGGAGGAGGGCTCCGAAGGGCTCAGCGTGGCGAGGAAGAGCAGGGGAGGCGGCACCACAGCCCCGGGCAGGCGGTGCGGGCCCGACGCTGAGCA